TATTATGGTTGGCGCAGCGTACGCGACCAGACATAAGCTACGCATCCAGCCTTATCAGCTCCCTCAGCGCAAGAGCGCCAAGACGTGCTGCAGCGATCGCAAAAAATGCATCGGATTCCTCCAAGGCACGTCCAAGCAGCACTTGTGGATCCGAACAACCACCAAGGAGCTCATTGCTTGGACAGACGCATCATATGCACCAGACGGAGGACGTTCGCATACAGGTTGGTTGCTGACGATGGGACAAGCACCTATCAACTGGCGATCGGCTCGCCAGAGCACGATAACGCTATCGACGGCTGAAAGTGAGCTGGCCGCCAGCGTGGAGGGGGCATTAGCTCTTCTCAGCGCCGAGGCGCTCGGCTCTGAGTTGAATCTGGGCAAAATGCGGTCGAGGCTGCGTACCGACAGTACCTCGTCCGCAGCAATCCAGAGAGGATCAGGTTCGTGGCGAACCCGCCATTTGAGGATAAAGGCTGGGTGGATCTACGAGCGATTGCAGGCCGAGGACTTGGAGCTGGAACATTGGCCTGGAGACCTACAGTTGGCCGATGCGCTGACGAAGCCGCTTTCGTCCATGAGATTGCGGTCGTTGGCCAGGATGATTGGACTTATGCCGCTGGAGGAGATCCTGGACGAAGTGGGTAATCAACAGAGCAGCAATCCCTCCGGCAGCAGCAGTGCATTAGCCCCTAGTTCCCAAGGGTTTAAGGTCTTGGTTGCAATGATGGTGTTGTCGCAGGCAGTCGTTGGGAGTGAAGCAACTGAGTTGACAGTATATGAACCAATGATGGTTGATAGGACATTGGTGGCTTGGTGTGTCTTCGCGGTTATTGCCTTACTCTGGACTGCAGCATGGGAGTTGATCAAGTACGCGGGGTGGAGGATATATCTCAACGCGGTTCCTGGAGCGAGTAATCGGAGATTGAGAAGATTGCAACGCATCCGTGACACTACTGCAGAGGCGATCAGAAGCGAACTGGATGTTCGCCGACGGGCTAATGCAGGTCAAGATCCGGTTGAGGTGAGGCGAGCAAGGGACCTGGATGTTTCATGTGCGACCGTGACGAGGCGGGAGAGAGCTGAGTCAAGTGCGAGGGTTCCTAGTGAGCCCTTATCATCGAGACCTACAGTTTACCGCTCAGATCAGCGAGATCGGGCTTCGCGAACCACTGGTCCAGCA